TTGGAGAACAGTCGAAAAGATCCACATTACGGTCAAAAATCAAAAACTCGACTTTTCCGAGGACCCTAACTTTGTGTTTGAAACATTTGTGAAAAATAAGCCAAAACGTTTTTAGGACCAGTATTTTTTTAGTGAAATAAACAGAGCCGCTGATGCAGGGAGCTTTCCAAAACAATTTTTTTCAATGAAACCAAAAACTCTGATTTCAGCGGTAGTTTTCGAGAAACCAAAAAAAAACTTAAATCAAATATTCCATCACAGAGAAGAGTACGCAGGCACACAGGAGAGTAGGCAATCTTTCAATGGGTACCCCTTTTTTGAAAATCAGTAGAAGTTTCTCAGATAAACTAAAATTTTCCCAATAAATTTTGAAATAATTTTCCTTAACAAAAAATAAATTTCAACAAACTCATTGTTAAGCATACAACCAACTTGAAAAGTGCGGCGGGGAGTGTTAAAACTGTGTTTCCATTGAAACAACCCAAAATTATGTCATTGAACCGATGAAAAAGAAGCCAAAAAAATTTAAGGACCAGTATTTTTTTAGTGAAACAAAAAAAGGAAACACGAAGATAAGTAAAAACACAAATTGTAGTAAATCAAACAAAAAAGCAACATAAAAAAATATGCGCAGCAAAGAAAAACGATTCCAAGATGTAACAACTAAGACGAGAACAGATAAGCAAACAAATATTTGGCAGACAATTTTATTTGAAACAGAATATTTCCTATTTGAAAAAAAAAACAAGTTATAGTCAGATTCGAAGCCAGGGCCTTTGCCGTCCCAAGCATATTCGCTACCTCCAAGCTAAACTGGTAAACTGGCCGTGAATGCATAGAAATTGGAATTCTTCCTGAATAATGATACAGTTGATTCTGTTAAACAAGTTGTTAACCCGAAAAAAGTTTATACTCCGGTTGGATAACGCTTGCTAATCACAAGCGTGAAGAGAAAATGGCCATTTTATTTAATGTCGCTTCTATACAAAAGATCTGCAAGAGTTGCGTTATAATGTTGTTCTGCACAAGCAACTATCTCTGCAACTTGTCAAATTTTATTCGCTCCAAAGCAAAACAGTATTCCTGCAAAACTGCCAACAATTCACGAAAAGTCAACTACCCAAAATATGATAATTTTTTGAGACTATTGAACACATTTTCAGTTCTTCATCACTGTTGAACCCCCCCCCCCCCCAATCACGTAAAAGACTTATATAGGACGAAACAAAAACAACAAAAAGCTCTAACTTAATGGAGTCAGATGCATATTAGTATGAGATTTGAAATTTCAAAAAGTAGGGAACATTCTTAAGTTCCTGAAAACGGCTTCGGTCTTATGGTAACTTTCATATGTTTATAGATGTTTGATCCAGCTGACAAAGCTCGAGAACTCTCTGAAATAGTGCTAATTGATCTTAAAATAAACGCACAAACGAATCATATTGACAAGCTTTTCACCCTTTATTGACGGAAATGTTTCAACTCTTTAGCTATAGAATTTGATTAACAACAATGTTGCGCATAATTCTTAGCAAGTTTAGGAGTCAACTATTAATATAGATTGCTAGTTTGAAAACGTTCTTAACTTAAAAATGTATTTTACATTTACTGAACATATTTTTCACAATATGCTATTTTCTGATCAGGTAATTTTATTTGCGGGTTGCGGATCTGGTTTGCCCGTTTTCGGATTGCTGCTACATCGATTTATTGACCCATCAGCGACAAAAGTACTGTTTAAAAATTGTATGTTACACAAAGAAAGTTGATAAAGTCTGGCTTTGGCACTGCATGTCTCAACAAGCTCCCACTCTTCGTAGATAAATAAATCATTCTGTGCATTAAAAAAAATAATTTTTGAAGATCATGCCGCTAGATCTCGGCTGAACTTCTGTTTCAAAAAAATTAAACCAAGATTTGATGAGTTGTCATCAAAAATGCTTTGAAGATTGTCGACTATCTGAAAAAAACCATGCAAAATTGCCAGTAAACAAGCAGTTTTAAAAAGTTCTCACTTCTTTTCACTTCCAGCTTTGTCCATTCGAAAGTTCAAATCAGACTTAAAAGTGCAGTTGGGAGATTTTTTGATGTTTATTGTTGTATATAACTAAAGTTTTACAAATGGATTACGATAAATTTTGAGTTCGTTTCAGCTTCCGGAAAATGTCAGCAGTGTAATCGACGAAAAGCAATCAATTCTTCCTGAAGCAGATTTACCATCATGGAAAAAATTTGTTTCCTATTGCCAAATGAAAAATTTGCTGTCGCAAGTTTATTTATTGTTCCGACCATTTGAAAAATGGGGAGGAACTTTGTATTCGGGTGTGTTTTACTTTTCTTTTTATTTTGCTTTCCACGTAATATCAGCCGCCACAAATAATCATCAGAGAGAATTGAGTGAATTATCATATTAAAGCTCTTACAGTCGTGATTCAAACGACTTGAAACCATTCCAAAAAATTGCCAGTGTCCAGAAAAACCGGTTTGAAATTTCTGGTTTTTCGTCTTAATTCGAGCGAATAAAGCGAGCGAGCAGACTTACAATAGCATTTCTAGTGGCTTAAAATACTGTTATTTAAAAAGTCAAAAATTAGTTATACTCAAGTAAAGTTAGATTTTTTGAGCTTTTAGCGCCTTTTTGGAATCAAAAACTTCGAAAATTCAAACTGCTGCAAAATCAAGTTTTTGAAATTGTTTTTTTTTCTTTAGCTTTTCTAGTCATTTTTATTCAAACATTGTTTTTCAAGGTCCTTGTTCCACTATGACTGTCGAATAAGCCAAATATAAAATTTTTCGTTCAGCTCCTTTTATCACACCACGCCACAAAAAAATGACATTACTTTTTTTACACAGGCGAAGCGGAGAATCGCACCACTTACGATACAATAGAATCATAAAAACAAAGAAAACAAAACGTTGAAAAAGACTAGTTTAACGAAAATTCGTACAACTCGATGAAGGAGATCTAGGCTCCAGCTAAAGCTTGATGTACCTGTTTGAAAATTTTTTAATTTGTTTTACTGATGCGGTACGAAATGCACAATTTCAAAAAATGAACTTTGCCCAAAACCTTTATTGTTTATCTACTAAATCAAAAGAGAAGGGTGAAAATTAGACATTTCGGAATTGTCCCAAAAGCATAACATTTCCTTTACATAAAAAAGTAACCGCTTCTGCAGGAAAAATCGAGCAACCACTTCTTTCGATTGAGTTTTTCATCTCAGATTTGATAGAAGTTTTTATAAAGTTTCTAAAAAACTATTCAAGTTCAAAAACTTGACTTTCCGAAATCCGTAACTACTTTCAGCTTAAAGCAGGTCGTGGCTGGTACAGTAAAGAAAATTCCTAACAACGAGTTTCTCGATTGAACACTTAGTCTGATGATTGGCACGACAATTTCGAATAAACCACAAAACATCCAAAAAACGGACAAAGTTTCAAAACTTTCACTTGTTTGAAGGCTAGAAATCTTATCAAAAGAAACTGGGCCTAGCGAACTTACAAAGGTAAGCTTCCAGCAATCTGTTCAAGCGATTAAATCTATGATACCAGATTTGGCAGGGTAGTTATCGAGAAAAGTCCAAAAAACGGCCAACAAATCAGATACTTGACATTTGCTAGAATCATAGCTTTTTGTTTCAAAAAAATTGGTCGAAGCCGTTTATGTAGAAGAGTTCCGCCCAGGCTGTTATTTGATCGGACCCAAAAACCCACGTTTGGCAGGGTAGTTGTCGAGAACGGTCGAAAGGTTTCAAAAAACGTTGAAAAATCACCATTATGATTTTTCTGAAGGCTATAATTTCCTGTGTCAACAAAATGGGCCTAGAGTTGGTATGTTAGTTTTTGAGAAAAAAAAACAAAATCAAAAATATCGGTCGAATACTCACCCATAGACTTTTTCGAAGTCTGCAGACAAAGTGGTAAAACAGAAAGAGACCAGTGGAGTATATAGGCACAAAAGGGTGTTAGCGGTCCTTCTATGGATACCTTTTTTTGAAAATCTGTTAAAGGGTTTTTGAGGAAAAAAAAATAATTTTTTTTTTGCAAAAGTGATAAAATAATTTTTTTTCCACAGCGTCTCAAAAAAAAATAAAAACCCAATCCCGAAAATTTTCATTATACTTAATTTTATCGAACAGGAACTCTAGGAAAACATGCCAAGCAAGACATCTGGGCTCTTTTTCCTTCCCCCCCCCCCCACCCCCACCTCAATCAATCATGAATTTTATGGTCTAATGAGTGGTGTTACGAAGTTAATTTATGAAGATCAAATATGTTTTTCATGGCCTAATTAGTCTGCATGGCAATTTTCATGACAATCGGACAAAGTGAAAAGTAACTTCAAATATAAAAATTTGCAGGTGGAGGGAAAGGAAAAAGAGCCGACATCTGAAATTTAAATTATAAGCTGAACAATTTTACTAAGCGGAAACAAGGCCGACAATCTGTGAGCAGACACCAGTTGAGCCGAAAAAAGCTTACTTTGTAGTAACTGATTCCCTAAAAAAACTGACTGCCTTGAAACTACTTTGTATCAACACCACCCACTAAGTAGTTAATAGTAACTTAGTACCCACTCAGCTAGTACCCACCAATAAGTGATTCAACTGATTATGTTAAACTAGTTGTTAACCCGAAAAAAGTCTACATTCAATTTGATAACGCTTGCCAATCGCAAGCGTAAAGACTATGGCCGGAACATTCTGTGATACTTGCACAATAACCGGCTATCTTGGTTAATTAATGTACATGGTCAACTTTTGTTTCCGAACTTGGCGCCTAGCTGACATCAAATGCTGTTACACGTATAAATAAAAAAGTTTCTTTCAGTTGTTTTTCTACTTCGGTTAACACATTCCTGCTCAATGCATTCTCACCTCTTTTCACATAGCAATGGTATATTGCATACCAAATAAGGTTCTGTATCTGGCCATTTTCAGTTCTACAACTTGGCAAGGCTTACCAGCTATCAAAAATGAGTTATTTTGATAGAAAAACAGCGAAAAGAGAAGAACACATGCGCGCTGCTTACCATTACTTTATACACGTGAACAGCAACATCCAATGCATAAAATGCTTACCACGTAAAACCACATTAGACATTTATATGAACGCATTAGTCCCTACTGTCACAAAAAAAACGTTTAATTGTACCAAATAGCACAACTCTAAACACAATATACTTGTCCTTATAGCTGCTAGTTTTCAATTAGCTATTTCCTGACTGGAAACTTAACAAATTAAGTTGCTATATTCTGCTAGTTATCTTCCAACATCAATGAAGAATTGTAGATAAACAAGGTAAGCCAAATATATTTTTAAACTCATAATTCTTTTCCTAGGCAAAACAGGCAATTTTTGTGTGAAAGCTACTACACATACCACTTACGCATATTTATAAGGCAACAGTCATCCGCAGCGCAACAATGCAAAATGTTAAAAATTTAATAAAGCTTTAATCGAAAAAACGCCATTTTTAGCCTAGTTTATTTTTTATTAAGACTCATCGAGTCAAACAATGTGGAAAAAAGAGCCAGGAATAAGAGCTTCACACTTAGGCAACAATGCTTTCGTGTAAATCGGCACCACTATCTATAAGGAAGCAGCTCTGAATATGAAGATTAATTTGATTCATGTTTAGTCTTAAACTATGAGGTAGCAGTTTGTTTGAGGATAAAAATTGCATGAATTGTTTATCCTCAGACTGAATGACCTGTCCAGTCATTTAAAAAGTACGAAAAATTAGCATTGCAAGCTACCAAATAGACAGTAAGATGGAAATAACTAAGTGGAAAAAAAACTTGAAACAACAATCAACAAATTTTTTCGAAATACAAAAAACTCTATCTCAGAAAAACAGACAAGAAATACCACTTTTGGTATTAAACAAGCTTTTCATTTTTCCAGATAGAGCGTTTATTAAGCCAGCAAAACGTGGTTAGACATCCTTTGATTCGAAAAAAAATGCCAAAGAAAATTAATGTCAAGAAAAAATGAAAAAACACAAGCACGATCATTAAACAAGCTTTTAGTATTTCCCGAGCGTTCACTAAGCCAACAACACGTGGTTTAGACCCCATTTAATCCGTAAAGAAAAAAGCCAAAAGCAACTGTTGTCTTAAGAAAGATTCTGAGCGGTTAAAAAGTTGTACTTTTCTTTTAATATTTATATTGCCAACTGACCTGATTTATTCACAACAAGAATAATCATTTTTCATCCATTACCGATGCAAAAAGTCAACTAAACCGACAAAACAGGAGCCGAAATCATTGAGGCATAAAAAATTTCGAAGCGAATAGAAAGCATAAGAAACCGGAAAATATACCAGTCAGGGATACTTAAATTAAAAAACTACAGCAGTTAACCAGCGACACTTGAGACTACACTGAAAACTGCTTACAGCGCACATCAATGTGGTGTGGCAACTAAGCCGACAACCTATAGTTCGAAAATTCAATTTTGCCGGAACAAAAATCAATTTCAGACACTGAAAAAAACACGATCCGGTCGAGAATCGAAAACCATAGAGTGCAAAAGCCTAGTTGGAAGGGGCCTGGAAGTTGCTAAAAAAACTGTAATAAAGCATCATCAATTTCAATTACAAATGCGTACACAGCGGCGAAGCTGAGCTTCGCAGCACTTGCAATACAAAACAAGCAAGCCGCTAAGTCGGAAAAGCTAGATATACAAAATGAATAAGGCTAATTTTAAAAAATACCAACACAATAGAATAAAAAATTAGCATTGGAACAACTTTACCAAGCGGTAACAAAGCCGAAAACACCTTAGCAGAAACCATTTAAGCCGAAAAAAATCAGCTAGACTTAAGACATAAGAAGTAAACAAGTCTCCCTCGCCCTCAAAACACACAGACACAAAAACTTAATTTGCTCATAGTATGAAAAAATATTAGGACACTAAGCCGATATAATATAGTCCGAAACCTATTAAGCCGAAAAAGGAAAAAATCTGAAAAAAAATCAAAAAAAGTTATTAAGTCCCCCTCACCCTCAAAACTTACACACGCACATACAAGTTTTTTCACAAGAAAAAAACCCAAAAAATTTGGCTGCAATTTTTTCGCTTGTGAGGCCATTAAGACGCAATATGAGGCCATTAAACCGATATAATATAAGCCAAAACCTATCAAGCTGAAAAAAAAAATTAAAAAAACCGAAAAAATGTCATCACAATCTATAATTTCTATTAGGAATTTATAGCATTTTGTAAAATTTAGAGGGCCGCTTAGAAATCACGCTTTCCTTGAATCAAATAAAAAAACGGACACTATGCCGGTAAAATACAAGCCGAAATAATTTGGGCAGAATAATGTTTTTAAGCGATTAAAAAAACAAAAAAAAGAGAAAATGTACAAAGGGAAGGTTATTAAAAAATTAAAAAGCCGAAAAAAAAGAAAACAATTCAACAAGGTAGCAACTAGGCCGACAAAACACAAGCAGACAATTGATAGGCCAATAATTTTTTACGGAGACGCAAAAAAATGAAATTTTTACGAATTGAATTACCAGTACTAATTTTGGTAACTTCCCAAATGGCAAAATAAGAAATTTTTCCCAAAGTGCATAAACTTCAAGTTTTCATGGTAATTCAAACGTTTTCTATCCATTTCTAATTCTAACGTTTTGTCTCTAACGTAATTGCTTCCAAACAAATGCTAAGCGACAACTTTGTCGCAAAAATTCAACACTAGAAACTTTTCAATAGCCACAAGCTTATGCTTTTCGCTTTTGATAAAAATGTCTCAAGATAAAAATGTCAATCAACATTTGAATTGACAGTTGGATTAAATTTCTCACATGGTTCACGAAAAAATTTTTCGAATTTTTTTAATGCAGCTGTTGCATGAAATTTATACCACTTGGAAAATTTTTCATTTCTATGCCATTTGGGAATGATGCCATTTGAGACGTAATCCTAATTTTGACCAGTCTGTGAACAAAATTATTTACGGGAAAAAAGTCTTGTGCCCGCTTGCAAAACTCGCAAGGTTAAAAAAAAGTTGTTTATAAGAAAAAACTCTAGTTCCCGATTACAAAACACTTGTTCTCGTAAGTCTATGTAAGAGGAGCCACAAATAAACAATGATCCGCAAACTAAAATTGCTACAACATTCTCTAAGAAACCAAAACTTCTGAAAATTTTAAAATTTCATCATTTTTCAATTAATATCGATTTTATCATATTGAGAAACCTTGAAACTTCTTCTTACTCAAATGAAAAAAGCCAGGTTGCTAATCAAGGTGAGGCGCTTCACAGTGTTTGCATTACCTCACAAACATGGCATCAAAATCTAGCGTAATGAATTAAAAAAATAAGCCACAAAATTAATCACAGAGGTGAAGCAGAGCTTCGCAAACACTTGAAAGAACACCAACAAAAAACAGCTCTGCCAAGTAAAACAAGAAAAGGTAGAAATAAACCTCGAATTAGCAAAAAGTCGGCTACGTGTAGGGTTCGAATCTGCGACCTACTGCAATCAAGAGATTTTGAGTCTCACGCACTATCCCCTCAGCCACGCAAGCTTAACAACCGACAAACACTAGTCACGAAAAAAACAGCTACATATGCTAATAAATTGCCAATACCATTCAGCAAAAGTGGCACCAAATACAAAGAGACACAACTTTGCAAGTAATAATTTTGAATAAAACAAACTGAGATTAACTTTGCATGTAAAAAAAGTCGCAAAGCATAAAGCCACATTAGGTATAAATTATGTATTTGAAAAAATTGCGAGATATTTTGAGTTGGAAAATATCGAGTTTTCATTGTTGTGATGTTGTTTGAAACAAATAGCTTTTTATCGGTTCATTTGATGAATTAAAAACGCATCAACTGTGTTAATTTACTACTATTCGAATGTCAAAGCACTTGCTATCAAAAAGCTGTAAACGTGCGCCAAAAATGGCACCAATACTTGAGATTTAGGCTAGAAAAAAAGAAGGTTCGTACTGACACACAAGCTTCGCAAGTAAAAAGAAAAGTATTTGAGGAAAGTGTAAAAACGCTATATCCGCTCATGAGTTTTCAGATTTTTGAACTCCCTCCGGAAAAACAAAGAGGTAACAGAAGTTATAACCAGCTTTTGAACATGAACAACTGAATATGACCCGGGCAAAGTTAACAGCACTGGACGATTCAACAAGCTCCCACTCTTCGTGGATTTAAACACTATCCCGGGCATAAATATAATCATTTATTGAAGATAATTCCGCTAGATCTCAGCATAATTTGTTTAAAAACAAATTCAAACTTAATTTGGCAGAAATAACTTTAAGAATGTTTTTTAACGCCCAGGATTCATTTAAACTTCAAACAAACCAGGAGATTGATGAGACGTCCTGAGCCGAAATCAGACTCTATTAACGTTGGCCGTGCAATATTCAGCCTTTGGGAGCTTCATTTCCAAAAGACTTTTGACCCTTTTTTTGGACTTGTTTTTCTGCCCGCCAATAGTGAGATTAACACGAACAAGTGTTATTCTGGTCTTCTGATTGAGCCCTTAATTTCAGATTTAGCGAGGTCGTTATGAAGAAAAAGAGTAGTCCAAGCAAAACGACCAAAATGTCAAAAATTGGGCTTTCCCCACGTCCACTTTGGTTTCCCTACCGAAATATGTGAAGTAGCTACTTACACAGGGGAGTCCCATAAGCTTTTTTTCTATTGAATTATGAACCTACAATTTTGCAGTCGGGTTTTCAAAAAGATGATGTATGGTCGAAAGGGTCAAAATTGAAAAAAATGGCTTTTAGTCCATAGTGGTGCCCCTTTCAGCCCATAATTAAGGAGTAGCTGTTTATGCCGAGAGGTTCCTTACAATCTGTTTTCCATTGAACCCTTAAGCTCAGATTTGGCAGGGTTGTTTACAAAAAGATGTATATACGAAAAAGGTGAACATGTCAAAACATTGCACTCTTACCATGTTCATAGCAGTTTCTTTTCAACACCATAACTAGGGATTAGCCGCTTATGCCGGGGATATCTTTGCAACCCGTTTTTTTCCCATTGAACCCATCAACTCAGATTTCGCAGGGCTGTGTTCGAGAAAATATATATCCGAAAAACGGTCAAAATGTCAAAAGATGGACTCATACAAGTCGATAGCTGTTTTTCTACTACTAATTTCAGAAATGGCAGGTTCGGTTTGGAGAAAATGGTTAAAACCAAAAAGCATCAAACTCTTTTAGGATTGAACCCTAACACAGCCACAGGAACTGAAATTTTCCATTAAATATCGTTTAGTTGCAAAAATTATAAAACTTAGTAAATTGAAAAAACCCTACACCATACATTTTCATAAAACCTGTTTTTATCAAAACATAATACTTATTTTTGTCATGAGTTCATGAAGTTGTATACATTCAAAGCGGAATTTTTTACTGGAAAAACACAACCTTTACAAGTAAAAACAAGGATACGCGGTTACTGTTCAAATACCACAGAATGTTCCGACCATAGTCTCAAAAATTTCTAACCGGTTTTTCTCGACAATGGTAAATTTCTTTGGAATTTTTAAATAGGGTTCGAATCACGACTGCAAGGGCTTTGATATGATATATCACTCATTGCAGTCCGATGATTATTTGTGGTACCTGATTTTGCGTTGAAAAGAAAAACACCCGAATGCAAGGTTACGCCCCATTTTCAATGGTCGGAACAACAAGGATGAAAGAATTTAAATTGGTGTGATGAAAGAATCTGAATGAAAAACGAAATAGTGGCTAAACGGCAAAAATTCATCAGCATTAATAAAAGCGTTGGAATATTTTGCCGAGCGTCCACCAAGCCGACATTAAATTTGTAACCGCCAATTGAGTCGAAAATGAAAAAGAACACAAATTAATTGTCACAAAAAGGAACTTGAGCAGTAGCTTCAAATGACAAAAAAATTGAGAACTGGGTCAATAGATAATTTTTTTTATTCTGTTGGGAAACCTGAACATTTAAATCCACTTTCGGAACAAGAAGTCGATCATGCTTTTCGTGAACTTTACACTATTGCTGCCCGCTAGTAGAGCTTACTTTCCTTTAAAGAAAGGAAGTAACCTGAACTGAAACAGAAATAAAAAGTCAAACCGCTAACAAAAATACATATGGTTGTGAATAATTTAGGAACTTTTTATTGAAAAACAAGCAAAAAAACATCAAGACTTATATATGATTCTTCGCTTCGTTCATTCTCCTACTAAAATTTTTTTAAAAACGATCAAAAACCAAGTTAGTAAAACGACAAAATTGAGGACGACTGTCAAGTATAGAAAAAAGTTAAAACCATTATAACATTTTATGCTTAGGAAAATCAGCACATCAAAAAAAACAAGCAGACAAAAGAACGTCTCGACAATTCAATTTTTCAGTTTCAAACATAATGAAAAAAAATGTCTGACCGGGAATCGAACCCCAGATCTTAGGGTGCAAAGCAACGGCATTACCTCTATATCAAGTGCGAAGGAGCCTATCCGTTGTTGAGGTTCACTAAAAAACAAACTCATTTTCTCACAAGTTTACAAAATATAGAGCCTCTTTGAGGACTTTAAGTACAATTTTGATAGAAAGACAACGGGTCCAAAATTTAAAAAACAAAAAGAATCCTTCAGTTCAACTTCTCAAACAATTACTTCGAACCGTACAAAAAACTTCAGCGCAAGAGCGAGAAATTTCAATCTTTTTTTTTACCAATAACAATTCCAAGCTTTCAAATGTTTTTACCATATACTTCTAAAAAAACAAAGAAAAAAACCATCAAGACAGTGCTCGTTTCGTTTATTGAATTTTACAATTTTAAAAAAAATTATCGAAACCCGAGTTTGTAAATTAACAAAAAAACCGGACAATAAACAATTAGAATAAAAATTGATTACTTCAGGGAAAGTCCATGCTTTGAAAATTAGGTTCTTACAAGTTTAAAAGATAGACAGCTTTTTAGGACTTAAATCAATTTTTATCACATCCCAAAACATAAAATATTAATTAAGAACTCTTCAGTTCAATTTCTACGAAAAAACAACCGTAAAAACCACTTCAAAAACAACGACAAATAGCAAGAGCGAGAAAACGCTTGCATTTTTTTCACTTATAGCTAACTATCGCATTTTTGCCGAGCGTCCACCAAGCCGACATTAAATCTGTAACCGCCAATTGAGTCGAAAATAAAAAAGAACACAAATTAATTGTCACAAAAAGGAATTTGAGCAGTAGCTTCAAATGACAAAAAAATTGAGAAAACTGGATAAATAGATAATTTTTTTTATTCTGTTGGGAAACCTGAACATTTAAATCCACTTTCGGAACCAGAAGTCGATCATGCTTTTCGTGAACTTTACACTATTGCTGCCCGCTAGTAGAGCTTACTTTCCTTTAAAGAAAGGAAGTAACCTGAACTGAAACAGAAATAAAAAGTCAAACCGCTAACAAAAATACATATGGTTGTGAATAATTTAGGAACTTTTTATTGAAAAACAAGCAAAAAAACATCAAGACTTATATATGATTCTTCGCTTCGTTCATTCTCCTACTAAAAATTTTTAAAAACGATCAAAAACCAAGTTAGTAAAACGACAAAATTGAGGACGACTGTCAAGTATAGAAAAAAGTTAAAACCATTATAACATTTTATGCTTAGGAAAATCAGCACATCAAAAAAACAAGCAGACAAAAGAACGTCTCGACAATTCAATTTTTCAGTTTCAAACATAATGAAAAAAAATGTCTGACCGGGAATCGAACCCCAGATCTTAGGGTGCAAAGCAACGGCATTACCTCTATATCAAGTGCGAAGGAGCCTATCCGTTGTTGAGGTTCACTATAAAACAAGCTCATTTTCTCACAAGTTTACAAAACATAGAGCCTCTTTGAGGACTTTAAGTACAATTTTGATAGCAAGACAACGGGTCCAAAATTTAAAAAACAAAAAGAATCCTTCAGTGCAACTTCTACAACAACTACTTCGAACCGTACAAAAAACTTCAGCGCAAGAGCGAGAAATTTCAATCCTTTTTTTTACCAATAACAATTCCAAGCTTTCAAATGTTTTTACCATATACTTCTAAAAAAAACAAAGAAAAAAACCATCAAGACTGCTCGTTTCGTTTATTGAATTTTACAATTTTAAAAAAAATTATCGAAACCCGAGTTTGTAAATTAACAAAAAAACCGGACAATAAACAATTAGAATAAAAATTGATTACTTCAGGAAAAGTCCATGCTTTGAAAATTAGGTTCTTACAAGTTTAAAAGATAGACAGCTTTTTAGGACTTAAATCAATTTTTATCACATCCCAAAACATAAAATATTAATTAAGAACTCTTCAGTTCAACTTCTACGAAAAAACAACCGTAAAAACCACTTCAAAAACAACGACAAATAGCAAGAGCGAGAAAACGCTTCCATTTTTTTCACTTATAGCTAACTATCGCATTTTTTTTAATGTTCTTGCAATGCACTGCTGCTCTTTTCATATTGCTACTGTTTTTGAGCTTCGCTTAGTAGATGAAAAACAGATTGATAGCTCTCCAAACTAAATTGGCTGGCATACAAATAAACACAAACTTGGTAGTAATAGTAGTACTTAAGGAAACAACGTTGTGTTATGACTGATACAGAAAAGTAAGAGAACAGAAAGTATAAGAAAAAGAGCAAGTTAATTGTTGATGTGGTGTTGTGTTGTGTTGTGTTGGTTTTCTAGCTCAGTTGGGTGCAGATGTTACTGCAGATGTTTTGTTGAATAATATGGTTGACTGACTATGGAGACTACTTCTAGTAAGTTGCATGTAATAATAAACAAGGAGAGTTACTTGACACTGAAAAGGTGGAGCAATGTTAGCTGTTGGTGTTTGGCCGATTTAATGTAACACTAAGGGTCAACTGAAGCAACGAAAGGAGAGGAGAGGAGAGGGAAGGAGAGGGAAGGAAGGGAACGGTAAGGAGTATGAGGGAAGAAGAACAAGTATGAGTCAGTCATCATTATATCTGCTCAGTTAGTCATCAATGCACAATGAAATATTAAAGCCAAGGTACGCTCGAGATGTTCACACATGTTTCTTCCACCCATTGTTAACACTCATCATCGTCGCATATCCAATCCAAATATACACTACATTTAACAGGCAAACATGGAAACCAAATCACATCTGCCACATACACTTCTCGTCTCTTGTTTCATTTCATTCGCTCCCAAATCACTTTTTACAGCCAGAATAGTTTATAAAATAAAAGCAGACACACCTCACAACGAGACCAACTTCTGCTCTTTTCTCCTGTACGCTCCACATGTGACTTGCTTGGGTTGCTCATTTGAAAACATGACAATAATTCTGAGATGTGATTGCTAGCAATTATTCCAAATATGATAGCTGACTGAACACTTATGAGGTGTTTTTGGGCCGTACAAGAGAAAAGAGCGCAGCCACCTTGGAGTGATGATTGGTTTGGGAGGCAGGCAGACATTGTGTGAGTGTGACTGTTTGAGGAACTACATAAATCATAAGTACTTATACTGCAGTTGTTGTGTGTGGGTTTGTTCCATCATAAGAGATAGCGGATAGCGACAGCTGATATAGAATTGGTGGCAAGACACAGTACATTATTGCAGAAGAGAACAGTAGTTCAGTTTAGTTTAGTTTATCACCCCACACTTCTCTTCTCTCTTATCTATCTATGCACGTAGATAGAATAGAGTAGAAGGCTAAGGATGCATGGCCGATTGATTGAATGATTGATTGTGTGATATCGAGTGATATCCAATTGTGATGTCATCATCTCTACCATGTTTGAACAGAACACTACACCATACTTGCTACCATCCATCATTCATCATTTCAATCCACTGTTTCAGTTAGCAACAAGAAACAAATTAACAGACATAAGCAAACATTTAACAATGAACTAGGTAGCAAATATGCGTTGTATTCCTTTCAAATCAAACTTTACTATACTTCTTAGGTAGTTTTTGCAGCATATTTTCCTTGGGAATTTTGAATTCCCTGTATTTAAAAACATTCAAAACGAAATCACTCATCAGCTGTTGAAAGTTGGCACAGAGCAGCCTCATCATTAAAACGAGAGAAAAATACACTCAAAATACACACTAAATAATGCCTTAAATAGTGATAAACAACAAATAACTAAGATTCTAGCGGGTAAATAAATAGCAAACAAATGACCCATAATCAGTTGCTAGTTCGGATATTAAACAAATTCTATTTTCTTCCTGCTTGCTGCGCATTTGGCCCGGTGGTACAACTTAAGCCTTCGTTTCTTCGCTTTTCTTCTCAGCATCGGCCTCGTTCCTTTCCATTTTGGCGCTCTTAGCCGACGGCTCCCCATCACCTTTCTCGGGCTCCTCGCAATTTTTCTCTTCTTCGCGTTTCTTTTCCTCTACTTTCTCCTCCGCTTTTTCTCCTGCCTCTTCGGCTTCGGGTTTCTTCTCGGCTTCAACTTCGCCATTCTCTTCGTGTTTTCCATCCCCGTTCGCATGTTTTGCATCCCCGTTCGCGTGCTTTGCGTCACCGTTAGCGTGTTTTGCGTCACCGTTAGCGTGTTTTGCGTCACCGTTAGCGTGTTTAGCGTCACCGTTTTCGGCAACAAGGCCGTTTTCTTTTTTCTCGGACTCGGCGGTGGCGGCGTCAGCAGGGGCGGCAACTGGAGCCGATGTCTCCTCAGGTGTCATTTTAGTTGCCACTTTGGCGGCCACTTCCGGTTCGGCCACGGCAGCCACAGTGGTTTGTGCGGATTCGGTTGAAGACATGATTAAAAGTTGTGGATTGATTGTTCGATTTGATTGCAGAGATAACAATTGAAAAGAAGCGGTTTTGATGACAGTCGTCCAAAGTCTGCAGCGGATTAAATCCAAACAAAAACTGAAAAGAAAGAGAGATTTTAAAAGACTGGCCGTCGGGTGAACGGATGAGCTGAATAAATGTAATAATATTTTGCACGTTTAATTTTTCTCAAGTCAACAATTGTTCCTGAAAAGGTGGTTGTGAGGTTTGTTTTGAGTTACTAAAGCGACTATTATCTAGACTGCTTTTCAAAGTTGAATTTGAATTCAGTTTGTGTTGAATTCAGTTTTTCATAAGCAGCAGCAGCAGCAGCCAACAAATGACTTATTTTCGTTAGCTAGCTGAAGGGTAAAGTGGAAGAACAACAAATGCAACCTTAGATTACTTCTCGGCGGCCAAGAGTGAAATAGAGCAAACTAGATCGGAAAATCACCAACAAGTTCTACAAAGGAGAGAGAGAGAGTTTAGAGAACGAATATTCTACTGCCACCACTTTCTCAATCAGTCCAATTCATTTTGTACTTAAATGCCTGATCGAGTTCAAAGTTTTTATGGGCCAGGTAAAAACACGTGAGCAAACATAAATATTTGCAGTCAACCACTTACAACCAACTGGCTCTCTCTTATACTTGAAGCATTTCGCCTTTCTTGTGTACCTTTTGGGTTCTCTGCTACCAATAGTGCAATATTCAATTTAAAGATCCAGCCATTTTTAATTGCACTTAATACATACATGCTGTTGGGGCGAGGTGAGGTGAGGTGAGGTTTGCGAAGAGGCGAACTTGATAAACTAGTTTGGGGAATTAGTTCTCGTCTATTTTTATCCCCGCTGTAGACAATTTCGAATGGTAAAACAGACACTAAACTGCCACTCAACCAAATAGCTGTTGGAAACAGAAACCCATAAAAGAGTGAAGCATAAACTATCTGCGCGCCCGCATGCACAGAAACTGTTCAGTATATGTTGAGGGAAAGAAATGGAACGAGTATGAAAGTGAAATGAAGAACTGCCGCCTGTGAAATGTTCTCCGAATTTTGAGAAAGGACAAATAACTCAAACTGAAAGAGCAATTTGCTCATAAGATTTTCTAACTGGTAATGTGTGTTTCAGAAAGGTCAAAGAACTGAAGATCTGCAACACTAACGAACGACTACACAATTCCAACTCAAACGTGTTTGTCCAACTGAGCAAAGTCCAGCCCACTTCGAAAGCACACAACATGAATTAAGAGTTACTATTTAACTTACAATGGGCAAGACTGATTTGAACTACAGGCAGCCGAGTTACTTTGAACAGCTGAAGAAAAAGGAGAAGGCCAGACGCATTTCTCAAGAGGGCAACTCCAGTTTCAACGCCAGCTGGATGTCTCCCCCCGATGACTGCCACACAATGACGTCATCATCATCCGCCTCTGAGGGAAGAGACAAGCAGTCACCCACATCTATTGCTCAAGTGTAAGAATAAGCTTTGAAATAAGGTACAATTAAACCCTTTTTTTGTGCTGCAAAAACTTGATTTGTCTCATACTTCAGTTATCGTTATTAAGGCTAACTGAATTAATTGAAATACACCTCCGCACATGAGTAAAGTCGGATCCTTTTTGGCCATTGTTCCATTTGTAGTACTTTTCGGTAAAGTTCGCCACGGGATGGGCACCAGAACTTTTTTGAAATCTTCTTCGAGAATGGTCCTATACACTGTGAATGAGTATAGTCCAGCATTCACGTGAATTAAGCAAACATTACACTGTTTGGTTGCACATGGAATATGACCGCAATCTAACTGAAAATTTAACGCACCATAACCAAAAAACACGACAGACAACATTTCAGAACTTCAAAACAACTGGGCGTTTTTTTTATATCGCCGCTGTCGCACAATTCTGAACAAATATCACCGCTATTAGATGAAAACGTGGCTTACTTCTCTCTAAGGACGATATATGAGCTAAATTCAGCAAGGCAAAAACGCCAGCCCATGTATGTTACCTTGACTCAACATTCATCAATTCCCACTTGATTCGCTTTCATTACAAATTGACTTAAAATGAAACAATTCTGAAGTCACCTTGTGATCTGAATGGAAGAAAACATTCTGATAGACCTTGAAGAGTAGTGAAATAGTTGTTCCATTTCAGAACAGACCTCTCTCAGATCACTCAGCGACACGTGGACGCCTCGTGGGCTGTAGCCAAAGAGTCCTGCAAAGTCAACCCCAAATACATCAGACGACAACTTCACACGAGAGGGGGCGGAAGAGCAACTGCACCACCCAAAAGAGTAGGCTGGAAGACCGTTCGGCTGTTCGTCTCATCCACCTTCCACGATTTCCAGGCGGAGCGAGACCTGCTGGTGAAGAAAGTGTTTCCCGATCTGAAGGCATGGTGCTTCGAGCAGAAGATTCACTTGGTGGAAATTGATCTGAGGTAGCAGTATTTTCTGAATACTTGGAGGCTCAAAAATGGAAATGGACACAGTATTCTGGTTAAGACAAAATCACAACTAATTTAGCTTAGCGGTTTAAGAAAAATGTAATTGAAATATTAAAAGTGAGGATTGAAAACTGTGTTGATGGGATGTAGTGTTGAAACAGTTGAGTTGGGCGGGCGGGCGGACATGAAGTAAGAGGTATGGTAACAGAGTGTAGCTGTTCTGTTCTGTTCTGTTGTCTGTTCAGATGGGGAGTGCCACAGGGTGCGGATGCGGAGGTGGCTCTGCGTACGTGTCTGGGGGAGATAGAGAGGTGCTACAGTGACAATGGACTGCCCTTCTTCCTCAACATGCAGAGCGAGAGGGTCGGATGGCTCCCTCTCCCCTCACAGGTGCCCCAGTCAATCAGGCGAGTTTCATCTATACATGTGCTTATATGCTTGCACTCTGTCAATCGACAAAAGCACTATAATTTAGAACAAAATGAGAAAACTCTTTTGCCAACACGATTTCTCAAAAACAAAAAGCAACAACTTACCAGCTGTTCAGATATTCGCGGAGAACCGTTCCGTTGCTGTGCTCCTAATTAAGATTTACATGCAATTTGTTGGCTACTTTTTTGGGCTGAGTAAATGGATCATGGGCCTCGAACATCCTACTTTTCAAATGAGAGGAGGAACACATGTAACCACTTCATGCCGTTTCCATTATGTACATGCCTCAAAAGCTGCTTCAAAACGAAAAACTTGAAGTTTTTAAATCGGTCAATCAATAAACAGAGAATAATGAACAATTCAAGAACCCTGGAATGGTGCCGAATGGTGAAATTCAATAAAAAACAATTGAGAAAACCTTTTCTAACGTGAGCAGCCATTTGTTACTTTAGAAGCTCGATTGTTTCTCGATGATTTCTGAGACCTGCAAGTAGTTTAACATGCGAATGACTCTTCTTATAAACTTGTGAGACTTGTGCTATAATTTAGGGATGAGTTCGACTGGGTAGATGGTCTGAGCATCACGGAGATGGAGGTGCTACAGGGAGCGATCAGGTCCAGAAACCCCAATGCATTCTTCCTCATCAGACATCCCTCCTTCCTGCAGACAGTGCCACAGGACAAGCGCAAGTACTATCAGGTACCAACTACACACCACACTCACACCCACAAATATATACTCACACACTCACTCACACAAATATATACACACACACTCACACACAAATATATACACACACACTCACACACAAATATATACACACACAAACAAACAAACACACACACACACTTACTCTCACACACACACACACACCACATATAGTTAAATACTCTGAGGTATCACACCAAGTTTTTACTGTTCATAAAGGCTCAAAGGATCCGGTTCCATTTTCATAGAAAGTTAATGGACAACTTTGGATTTGAAATTTTGACAGCGAAACAAACAAACGAACAAACATCCCTTGCTAACATTCCTAACCTAAATAAGAAGCTGACCTGATTTAAAGTTTGTAATGAACTGAGCTGACTGTTGCTACTTCATGCAGGAAGGACTGCATATCTCCAGTTACAAGAGTATCAAATTCAGAGAAGTGCTGGACTCCCTGTTCGGTCAGAACCAGAAGGTTAACTACTATGCCAGGTATGACGGGGAGGACGCCATGGGATATCCACAGCTGACAGGCTACGAGGATCTCCTCGCTCAACAAGTCCTCGACTTCTTCAAGATGCGCATCATGGCACACTACCCCATGGGTAAGCAATAGACAACTTCCTTTTCATTACCAATCCCTCTTTCATACTTCAGAAGGGCAGAAAAAGCCTCGCTGAAGGAGCTTGCAAACTCAAACTATATTGGACACAATTTTGTTCCTGTCTGTTTCGAATAATTCAAATGGGAGAATAAGTAAGCTTGAGAGAGAAGGAGCAAGTGAGGGACAAGTGATTGAAGTTTGTTTTTACAGGAGTGGGTGACTCGGTGGAACAAGTTAACGAGTGGGAGAAGCTGACAGACATGCACGAGACATTCATGCACAGCGAGGCGGGCGAGATTGGGAAACTGCCCGTGTGGGACAAGCAGATAGCAGACTTGATTCAATACGTGGCAGACGAAGCCACAGAAGTGCCCTACCTACTCCAGGCTAAGTCTGGATCGGGCAAGAGCTCCTGTCTGTCTACCTTCATCACCAGGGTCCGCAAGTCTTTTCCAGACGCCAAGGTGTTCTGTCACTTTGTGGGAGCAGTTCCAGGGTCAATCAACTACAAGCAACTAGTGAGAGTAGTTTAATGTCTACTAGAGCAAAAAAAAAGCTTTCTTTGTCGTTTGAAAAAACTTTTTTTCTTAAAATTTTTTTGATAAATTTTCAAAAAATGCAACAAAATTCCAGCAAAAATCCTGTCACTCTATATGCTACCCTATGGACTTAAGAAACGGCATTCAGAAAGTTGTGGGAATGCCTTTCCTAGTGAGAAGCTAAAATTTTGGTTTGAAGAAGCTGAATCTTCATTAGAGTCCGTGCTACGCGAACTAAGTCGACAAAAATAATCAGACAGGCAGTCTTCTGAAAAAGCAGAAAAATTTCAGTTTGCGAATTTAAACAGGTCCCGGTCGACGTGACAAGCATGCGCGTTAAACACTACGCCAAATACGCTGAATGGTTAATTGAAATTGAACTTAAAACAAAGCAAGTTGAAACACGTGCAACAATTTCTCGTGCTAAATCTTTTGCAAAAAAAATCAGGTACCCGGTTTCAACACCTTAGCTTATCGCAAATATAAACCACACGCGCGTAAAACTGAATTAAAAATAGAATTTTTCAAATTTTCAAAGAATAGTTTTTTCGATATGGCCTTTATCTTGACTTGTGAGAATTCCTATGAAATATCTTTTCGGGAGTACAAATCACGACTGAAACCGGCTTTAATATGACTAAACGGGATTTAATAAATCAATGACTTGAAGATTTTTAAGGAGAAAAATGCTTTACTGTAGTTACAGCCCGAATAGAAAATTTTGAACAATATCTGAGGGTTAAATACCAGGAAAATCAGAATCATTCAGAGCACAAACAATTGCTACAAAAATTTCAATACAGGCGAAGCTGCACTTTGGAAACACATGCAAAAAAAACCGACAAAAGCAGCCCTAAAATGTGAAATATGGAACCAGTTCTAAACTAGAATTTATAATTGGTTATAAATATAATTCTCTAATTCTATAAAATATTCTTAACTAACCCATCATATTCCATAACTATCATTTACACTTATTTGTAAGAGCTGAAACTACTTGTAGTTTCAGCACCAGAGCAATTTGAATAAAACTTAGAATACAGTTGTTCTCCTTCTGGCAACTAACTCGCATAAACCAATATACACTAGATCTATTGAGACTAGGAGATATAAGAGTAAGATTAAGATCGGTATTAGACTAAGAAGTTGCACGAATCTATCCGGCCAAAAATAAGATAGCGTGACGAGCAGACGGTGTACCTTATCTGAAATTACTCTATGAGTACAGTCAATAGTACATAACTCAAATAAAAGAAATAGGTGATGGAAATTTTTTTTGCTATGTGTCGAATTCGAACCTCCAACCTGTGTAATTTAAGCTTAACGATAGGCAAACCCTAGCCACAACAAAAGCAGAGAACAAATGCTTTGAAACTTTTAATGCTTCAGATCGTAATTATAGCAAAGTGCCACCAAATGAGCAGTGTTATTTGCGAGTTAGGTTGGAAAGAAAAGTAGAGTCATACTAATATACTACGCTGGCTAGTGTAATGATCGATACCCTGAAAAAGAAGTTTGACGTGCCAGGTTATGCGTGAAAAGCCAGAGCTTTTCATGCCTTAATATTGTATTTGTTTAGGTGAAGCGGATTGCTCACTTCTTGGGTGAGAGAGTGGATGGAGTGGATGACTTGAATGTAGTGGTGCAGTCTGTCTGTAGGAAGCTCTCATCACACAGGGCAGAGAGACTAGTGATTGTGATAGATGCATACAACCAACTCACAGATCCATCTACCACCTGGCTACCATACCCACTGTCCCCCATGGTCAAGGTAAGCAAGTCTAGGTCCACCTTTGTCATGTCATGCTACTCTAAATCTATTTATATCACGCCAGAACACCATTTAGTTTTTCATTCATCGCCGCTGCAATATTTTCATTCCCGCAATATTCTTTGGCCAATAAGCAGAACTTGAATAGGGGCGAATCAGGAGATGGACTTGATGAGAGACGTGGAGACTAATGACGGATCCTGTTTGTTTCTGTCAACTGTCTGTTTGTTTATGTTCTCTTCTCTTCTCTTCTCAGGTGGTAATCACAGCCAGACCGGAGAGTGAAGTGACAGAGTTGATGCAGAAGCAGTACCCAAAGCCCCTGCTGACCAAACAACTCATACCCATGGACGAAGAGGGCAAGCGGGAGATGGTCTCCTCTATTCTGGGCAACTATAACAAGCAACTGGACCCGAAACAGATGGACCTCCTTCTCAGCAAACACTCCTCCTCCAGCTACTACTGGTCAGAACACAACAAAATACGATACAACACAATACATAGAAGCTCTCTTGTAACAGTTACCACGACAAGCCTATCACCACAATCAATGCTCACATTTTGTCACTCGCCACGATTAAACAAATAATCAAAAAAAAAAAAACATTTTTCAAAGATAAAAACACTGAACGCAAAAATTACAAATAAGTGCCACAGAAAATAACGTGCCGAAATTCAGAAACAACTCCCAATTAGATGAAAATAACCCAATTACATCAAGAATTATCACTTATGAATATTATTTGCAACGGTAAAATAGCTAGATCAAAACAAAAAAAAACATAAAAAAACCGCCAACAAAAGAAACAAAAACTCCAACAAAGGAAATTTCGAAAAACTTCAGCCAGAAAGGACCTCACTGCCGTACACAACTTGCTGCCACATTCCTGTGCAAACAAAACAGTCAATCTTGCAAAAAAATCTGGAATAGTATCATTTTTTGACATTGAAACAATACGTTAAACTATCAACTTCAATCGATTTCAAAAGAAATTGCCGAAATCTAAAACACACACTTTTAGAACAAAAAATCGGAACCCCCAAAAAAATCAGAAAAATGCATCTCAATACAACATAAAAAAAACTTTGCAAAAAATAGATTCCAGCAGAAAAATTCAAATAAGTTATAATTTTGACGCCTACAAAAACCAGAAAACCATGAACTATATTTACCCTCATGCAAATGAAGAAAAAAGTATTAGAAAAATCTATCAAAAAATTACAGAAATAATTACCCGGCAAGTAAGCCGACAAAAAAAACAACCCACATCTAGAAAAATTTTCAGCTGTAAAACAATTATGAATTCAGTCGTTGAAGCCAGCTGTTGAATTACAGCTGTTGGACGTGCAAGTTCGGTAGAAATCATTTGGATATGACCACAGATTTCAGTTATCCTGTGGACAAAGTTGTTTGCGGGAAAAAAGTCTAGTGCCGAATTGTAATACCCTTGCTTACCCAAAACTAGATTGAGCCGAAAATAAAAAATGTCAGAAGAAATTATTGTGATGAAAAATGAACCACCAACTAACTTAATTATTTTCAAACACAATAACCAACTTTCGCCCTTCAAATTACACAACATGTATTGACTAAGTCGAAAAATCATTTAGGTCGAAGAACGCTTTAAAGCGGAAAAAAATAGAAGGAAAATATATAAAGCAAGGGCTAGTAAATTTACAAAATACAGAGGAGTAAATCAATAATAGTTGTAAGTACTAGAGTCAAAAAACATTACTTCCAGATCAAGCGAAATCAGTGATGATGCATTTAAGTCGACAAAATAGAAGCAGACAAACCCAGTCCGACACTTAAGGTTTTCCAGGAAAAAATTCCATTTGCATACATATTGGAAAAAAGGTCCGGTCGGAAGTCAAACCCCAGACCTTTAGCTGCAAATTGGGAAGGAGTCTTGAAGTTGTTAAAATAATGAATCAAGTTCAATTTCTCACAGATTGTGAGAAAAGTGATCAACCGCACACGCGCCGACCCAGCCCCCCCCCCCCCCCAAAACACCCCAAATCAACCGGGATCAACCGTACATCCCAAATCGATTTAGGGGGGAGAAAATATGGATTTTTCATAAGTAAGCTAACTTTGAGTATAGCCAAGACTCGTTCCAAATTAACCGTATTACTACACAAAAATGAATTAAAACTTTAATTTGGGTAATTAGCAGCATACAAATGCAATCATGCATAAAAATGTAGAAACCAATTTTATTTGCGCGTTTGTATGAAATCATATTTTATACAGAATCATTTTTCAGAATTAATGCATGCTCGGGTAGGGCATTCTACGGTAGGTCACTTAGGGGGGGGGGGGGGGATTGTAGGGTTGATCCGAGAAAAGCTGTTTAGGAAAAGCTCTCGCAAGTTGAATATAAACAAATCAACCGGGATCAACCGTACACCCCAAATCGATTTAGGGGGGAGAAAATATGGATTTTTCATAAGTAAGCTAACTTTGAGTATAGCCAAGACTCGTTCCAAATTAACCGTATTACTACACAAAGATGAATTAAAACTTTAATTTGGGTAATTAACAGCATACAAATGCAATCATGCATAAAAATGTAGAAACCAATTTTATTTGCGCGTTTGTATGAAATCATATTTTATACAGAATCATTTTTCAGAATTAATACATGCTCGGGTAGGGCATTCTACGGTAGGTCACTTAGGGGGGGGGGATTGTAGGGTTGATCCGAGAAAAGCTGTTTAGGAAAAGCTCTCGCAAGTTGAATATAAACAAGCAACAGAGAAGTACTCAAAATGCAAACATACTCAAAGTATGTCTGTTAATTGATGAAATGACAGAGTCGACGAAAGAGATGATCGATAGAAGAAGTGGTGATTCTGTTACACATGTTGCTGACTTGAAAAAACAAAGTCCACTAAAAGGAAACCAGAAGTTTAAACCGCACACGCAAAAGATGCTTTGATAGCTATTTTTGGGCCCACAAACGCGTTGACAAATGAATGATAAAATGCATTTGCTTTCAGGCTCTCACTAGCATGCGAAGAGCTACGAATCTATGGCCACTTCTCCAAACTGACGGAGAAGATTGAGAAGCTGCCGGATGACCTGGTTGACCTTCAGTGCGAGATCCTCAAACGACTGGAAGATGAGCAACCTCAGGAGGAGCTGTTGGTTGCAGCACTCTGTCTTTTACTCGTCAGCCAATCCGGTATCTCCAAATATGACCTAGATTACATTGTTTACAGAATGTAATTCATTGCATCATGATAAGAAAGCTTGCAACTTGTCTCATTTTGCAGGCTTACTTGAAATTGAGCTACTGGAGCTGTTAGCAGAACCTCCAAACTTGTTGCCCAAGTCACTCAGGGAAGGTCGCTATGCGGACAAGCTGCCTTACAAGGTTTGGTCAGAGATCATGCGCGATTTAAGAAACTTCGTCAAGTCGATGGGCGATCCAAGTGAAGGGAGACTGAAAATATACCACGCCACATTCGGCAAAGCAGTTGAGAAGTTCTACTTTGACCGACTTGGAGAGACAGCTGCTAAACAAAACTACGCTTGGTTTCACCAGAAGCTAGCCAACTACTTCAAGGCTCACTCTACATTCGAGAGACGCACCGAAGAGTACCCTTATCACTTGGCTTCGCTACACCGAACAGACGAGCTAGCGCAATTCTTGTGTAGCTGGGACACCATCAACAGTTACTACCAGCCCAGGTAAGCTCTACAGCTATTTTTCCATTTTTACGAAAGGCGTTCAGAAACAGCTGCCAAATAAATGCTTTTAAAGGTTCTCAAAACATTTATCTCACTTGTGGAGCGCTGTGGACTCTGAATACAGTGAGATGTCTAGACTATACGTACAGAAAACTGAAGACGCCATTAGAAACGTCAACTCGGAACATAAAATCGCAGCTGCTGATTTGCTGAAGCTAGCTGACATATGCTATCAGAACGGGAGATACCCTGGATGCAACGAAATCATAGCCAAAATTGAAAACGCTTCGACTTCAATTTCACAACTACTAATTCTCGATGACATTCAGTCATTCACAGCGGAACTGAAGTATATTCAAGCTAAGAGCATCGAAAAATCTGCCCAAGTCAAGGTTATAAATCTACATCAAATCAATGTTTTGAATGCATATTATTATTATTATTATTATTATAGATTTAGCAACAGAGTTGCAAGGGGTTTTCCCCTAAGTAAGTCGATTGGAAATGAGTCTACAGTTGTTCCGGGTACAGTCACAGTAGAGTTTCCAGGTACATGAGTTGTCAGGATTGAAATATTGGTCAAAGTAGCGCCACATCCATTTGAGACAGCGACTCTTAAACCCGTCACTGTTGAAGACGTCAATGATAGGCGGTGCTAGAGAAATTAAGCGTGCAGTTCTGAACCAGAAGTTGTGTTCACATTGTCTTCTCCTTGGCCGAGTCACCTGGAACGAAGCGGACCGACAGCTTCTGGTAGACAATGGTGATATTACATCAGAAAAATCATAATCATAACGACCAGTTAAAATTTTGTTGTAAAGCAGTAAGTCATTAAGCTGAATAAAGAAAGGCAAAGGTAAGATATTAAGAAATTTCAAAGCGTCTTTGTAATTCGTGCCTGGTGTTATCCATCGGCATACCTTTCTTTGAAAGCCTTCAATTCGCTTCATTCCTGTAACGTTAAGACCGAATGCACTCGAGCTATAAAGCAGCTTGGGAAGAATCATACTCTTGTAGATGTTCAGCTTACTGAATACCGGCAAGAAAGGTGAGCTACGTTTCACCATTTGGAAAACTCGCATGGCACTATTAATTATAGTAGTAATGTGGAGTGTCCAGTCGAGGTTACTTGTTATGACTAACCCCAAATCTTTATGTACAAGAGCAGGAGGAATAACATTATCATCAAAATAAATACCACTATAGGAGCCACTGAACAATAAATGAGAGCATTTCTGTAAATTAAATGCTCTCATACTTTCAATAACGTATATTAATGAAATTTTGCTAGGACGTGTTGGCCAAGGCGCACTCGGACACTGAGGAGGAATCTGACGAAGTGATAAAAGCGCTGATGGACGCACTGGACTCTATGAACAAACTGGACTCAGTTCACTTCAAGCGGAAATCGGCTGAGCTGGAAAACCGAATTGGGATGTTCTACATGACGAAACTATTTGCGCTTGAAAACTCCAGTCACAAAATGGATGAGCATGACGAGGCAAATTTTCGAGAGCGAGCGATAGAATGGGTGAACCGCGCTCAGAAAAGCTACAGGCTCATCGAAGACCAAATAGGTAAGTTAAGCTTAGTTTTTTTTTTCTAGAAACGAATAATTGAAAAATTATGAAGTTAAAGAAAAGGCGTGACTTTTAGGAATCGCGGATACGTTCACTTCACTTGGTGTTTGCTCAAAAGAACGCTGTGAAAAAATAAGAAACTACGAAACAGCCGAAGAGATCATTGGCTCTGAGGGTGGAGCTGCGGAAGAAGCGGCGATAGGTCGCCTATATATGAATCTGGGAATCTACTACGAACTAGACGGCTCATCCATCGATGACGCTGTGGAATACTATGAAAAGTACCTCGATAACTCCTTACGTCTATTTGGTATTTATCATCCTGAGACGAAGCGGGCACAACACGCTGTAGCCAAACTGAGCAGAGATTAAAGTTACATAAACAAAAATATGTAAACTAAATTTTATTAGTAAAAAGAGCAGGCCCAATTTGAATCCAAATACATTGAAAACGCGGTTACTTTATTTCAATTTAAAAAATCGACAAGATAATGGTTTTAGGAGCGACAGACACAGATTTTAGTTAAAGTTTAAAATTCCAAGGAAGTTGCAAGCTATAGTGATATTTTGCTTTATGATCCCTTTTGCAAATGGAATTTTGAATAAAAAATTGATAGGGTAAAGCGCGTGCAAGTTTTGGAGTTAATAACAAATTGTTGGCAATATATTTTCGGTCAACAAATCTGAACAAAGTTAATTAACCTTAAAAAGCTTGACGTCAAATTTCGGTACTACTATGATAGAGTGGTCCCTCGAAAAAGCAACTATGATAGACAGGTCCGCATGCATATTGCATGTTATAATTTTGAAAACTAGTTGGTTTATAAATTATTCGTTTCAAAAATCTTGCAAAATATGTTCAGCCAAAAACTTTTCAGATTGAAAATTTTAATCACTATTGTTTATATATTGAAATTTGCTCGCTTTACTTTATTTTATGGTTTAACAACCATATGATTGGGTTGACTTATTTGCCATCAAAACCCACTATTGGCGGTTTTTTTTAGATTTTTAACTTTAAAATGGTTAGGGGGAGGTTTTATAAGATAACAAAACATAAAACTTATGAAAATATACTGCGACATCTTTCTGAAGGGCTCTATTATAATTATTAAAAGATTTGAGAGCTCTAGGTGTCTTATTCTCAAGGGACCTGGTTATTGTCAAGGGACCACTCTATCATAGTAGTACCCAAATTTCATCTTATTAATGATTTCTACGCGTAAAAACGGTTTCCGAAAACTAATTAACCTAAACTGCTATACATAAACAAAATTGTCTTTTTATGATGGTTTATGATGTCTGTAAATCATTTTATAGCAATTTTAACATTTCACATTTTATTATTTTTGCGTTAACTATAGTTTTTGACCGATTAAATTGCTCAAGGTCACCGATATTGCCAATAATTGCCCATTAATTATATTGATCAAAGTGAAAACTTCTGACTGACAGCCCGTGGAAAATGAAGATAGGTATTTTCGGAACCTTTTTTCTACGCTTGATTTAATCTAATTCAAAACTTTCAACTGGTTTATACATTTTTGAATTGTCAAGTTAAAAATAAGCACTCAATTGAGCATTCAAACAAGGCAGAACAAATCCCGGAGGGTCAGAACTTTAAAAAACTTTCGGAGTAAAGCGATCTAAAAACCTCAAAAACGGAAAAAGAAACTAAAACGCTGACTACTAAAAATATTCGAACTGCAGGCTTGGCTATATCAATCTCTCTGACGCGAACTGTGACACCAGTCACTCGAATGATGATAACGAGCAAGGCTTGTTGTTGATATGAATCTTCAGCAACTCCTCCGAAAGTCTAGATGTTGTGCCAACGTCCAACCAAAACGGTTACGTTAGTGTTAGTACTAGAGTTGGCAATGTACTAGTACCACCTAAAACCGGTACCGTACGTACTAGTACATGTACTGGTACCACAAAAAGGACTTCGTTCAGACTAAAAAAAAAACTTTTTCGAATAACTTTGTTCGGAATCGTCACTTGGATAATTTATTTTATCAAAGAGTACCTTACTCATTGCCAAATTTAGTAGTTTTTTCATAGTTTTGCGAGTTATTTGCCAAATTTTGAGATCTCGCGAAACTTCAAATAATTTTTTGAGCTAAATGTTGAAATAACCCTGAGATTATATGAGCAAATCAATCCTCCAGAAATATGCCGCAAAACTATGAAAAAACCAATAAATTTGGCAGTGAGTAAGGTATACTTTAAATTCAATGGTTTGTTGTATGTACAAAAAGACGGCTTTGTGCCAGTCGGTCATATTTGAAAGTTTAATGTTGAAATAGCCCTGAGGAGATTATATGAGCGAATCAATCCTCCAGAAATATGCCGCAAAACTATGGAAAAACTGATAAATTTGGCAGTGAGTAGGGTATACTTTAAATGCAATGTTTGTGGTATGTACAAAAAGACGGCTTTAGGCCAGTCGGTCATATTTGGAAGTTTGCCCTTGAGCAACGCTTTAGACTTAATTTTGGGGCGAAATGAAATTTTTTCAAAAATTCGAATTGAGCATGTCATGCTCAATTTTCTTCCGATAATCAAAAAGATCAGAAAGAATTCAGAAAAACCGAACTACAATCGCGGGAAAGTAGTTGAAAGGCAGCGGCAAAATGCTGTTCGCAATTTCCAGACATAAGATCGTACGAGAGTAGAGCTTTCTTATCCTTAACAGAAGGCAGAGTGATCGCAAGCAGAGAAGAAAACAAATAAGAAGTGGACCAGAGTGAACCTTCGGTGGAAAGGTGGACAACTGAAGTTGCCCAATGGTCCAGCCTCAAAAACTTACTTCTCAAGTCAAAACTTATTCATTTAAAACTCCTCGAGTTAGACTTGATTACCCCATTTATTCTCGAATTACTTATTAACTCAGAAACTAAATTCTAGAGTATGCCGGGATGTGAGTACCCAATTTAGATTTCTTGAGTGTGTTTTATGTTGTGAGGTAAGGAGAGTCTTGGGTCGATGTTGTGTAGAGGAAAACACGGCTTGGGGAGAAAATTTAACTCAATAGTTATCTGAAAGACAACATCTTATAAACGTCATATAAAACAATTACATGACATTCACCCCCACTTGTTATTGGATGTAATCCTTCAGGTGTGCCGGCGGTCGTCGCGGGCGCGTTGATCTGCGGACCTCCGGTCCGGCAAATGGTGATACTGGCGTTGATTTGGGAGTGGTTACTGGTGAACTGTCCTCTTCTTCAGCACCCTGCTCGGTCGTCACTGGGATACTGCTGGTTTCCTCGAGGGTGATCGTTGGAAAATGTTCCATGGCATTCGGTAAATTCTTCACTGGGGACAGATGCGGGCTCCTGGGTTCTGTAGCGTCCGTTTGGGCTGGAATATTGCGCCGTGACAAATCTTTCGTCGAGACAGTGTCAATACGTCCATTTGGGAATACCACTCGTGCGAAATGAGGATTAATGACCTCCGAGATGCTGACGGGTCGTGCCTGCAGGGCCTCCTTTCCGCGCACAAAATTTCTCAGATATGCAGGGTTGCCGCTGCTCAGGCACTCTGGAAGAGAGCAGCCAAGACCGGCTCGCCGCGGGAACTTGAAAAACCTGGAATGGGGCGATTCATTTGTGGCAGTACAGAGGAGTGCACGCACAGCAGCAAGTGCTTCTGGCAACACAGATTCGCACATATCAGCACTTAAATTACGCGAGTGTAGGATACACTTAACAGTCTTGAATATTGTGCCGTTGTATCGTTGTACGGGTCGTTCTCGAATGAGATATGCCATTTCGTGAGCAAAACTGGTCGAACTCGGAAGAGAGAAACTGGCTGCCCCGATCTGTGTGAATAAATGCTGGACACCCAAAGACTGAGAAAAGTTGGCGTAGACATGCTATAATGGATTCGCTCGTAATCGTTCTGATACCAAATACAAAAGGGAATCTACTGTATTCGTCAATTACGGTTAGGGCGTAGCAGTTACCGGTCTTTCGGGCGGCGAATTTTGGACCGACAATATCTATGGCCAGTCTCTCAAAGGGTTGTAAAGCTCGAATTATTGACGATGCACCAGGTTTGTAGAATGCCGGTTTGACTTCTTTGCACGTATCACAGTCCTGTATAGCCTCCTTTACTTCTAAAAGAGAGAAAGCTAGATTATGACGTCTCACGAACTCCCACATACGGACGACGCCCGGATGCTGCAATTGGCAATGTAACGTAACACATGGGGATTCTTTCGAGATAGCGGAGAGTCTGGATAGAGCGTCCGCGCTCACATTCTCGCTGCCTTTCCGATACATGATGGTGTACGCAAATTCTGACAGCTCTAACCTCCACCTCTTGAGTTTGTCATTTTTAATTTTTGACCGGTGTTTGGAGAATATGAACAAAACCGATTTTTGATCCGTTTTAACAACCGTTTCGTATGTTCGAACAAAATGCCCCCACTTCCGAAACGCCTCAACAATAGCCATGGCCTCGCGCTCGACTGACGATTGCATCTGTTCTGAAGTAGACAAGGTTCTAGAGTAGAAAGCCAAAAGGCGACCACCTTGTAATAATGTTGCCCCTAGTGCTGTCCCAGATGCGTCCGTTTCGAGGAGGAGCGGCCCGGCGCCCGCTATAGGTATAGCCAGAGATGCAGACGCAATGCCCTGCTTGAGCGAGTCAATTGCATCGACACAGTTCGGGTTCAAAGGAAAGGCACCCTGTTTCTGGGCCTCTAGTAGCGGCTTTACTTTAAGTGAATATTGTGACACCCATTCCGCGTAGTAAGCAAAGAAGCCGAGTAGCCGTTTCAGCTGAGCTGCGGTGTGGGGCACTGGGTACTCCATGAGAACACGTAAGCGTTCAGGATCCGGCTTCTTCGAGCCGTTTTCAATAATGTGTCCCAGCAAGGATAATTTCCTGGTTCCAAATGTACATTTGTCCATGTTGAGCGTCAGGCTTTCCTTTTCCGCGGCTTTCAAGAACGCGTGTAGATTCCGGTCATGTTCCTCCTTTGTAATCCCACCGATATAGAGGTCGTCGAGGTACGGTTTTGCGCAGCGCAATTGGTTTCTTTCAATAAAGCTATCCATTATTCGCTGGAATGCTGGGACGGCGTTTGTAACACCGAATGGAAGGCGTGTGAATTGGTAGAATCTGGCCCCAACCTCAAAGGCTGTGATTGGTTTGTCACCTGATCGCAACGGTATTTGGTGGTATGCGGATTTCAAATCTATTTTGCTGAAATAGTGAAAAGCGGCCGCAAGAGTAAGCATGGACTCGACATCCGGAAATGGGTATGCGTCAACGTCGGTGTATAGATTCACTGTTTCGAAATAGTCAATTACCATTCTCTTATTGCTTGGTCCCTTGACAACGAAGGCCTGAGCCTGCCAAGGTGAAACAGACAGCTCAATTATTCCGAGATCCAGAAGCCTCTTTACTTCAGTTTTCATGAATAGCGCGTTGTCAGCAGAAACTCGTCGAGATTTGGAAGAAATTGGCTTAACGGTCAGGAGCTTGTCAGGAAATAGTGCTGGAGGCTCGGTTGTCATAATTGGGAACATGCTGCAACATGCTTTCGTACACTGATCTCGTTCTAAGCTTATTGGGGGAGTAATATCGGTATCACGTCCTCCCAGGTGGAAAGTGATAGGTGGTTTTGGACCGCCGAGGTCAAGATAAACCGATTGATGGCTAGCAAGAACGTCCATTCCGATGATCAAATCGGCAATTAACGACTCAACCACGTGTAAGCGACAACAATAAGATTCTGCCTTTATTGTGATTTGTGTGTCGATGAAGCCAAGCACATTCAATTTGTCGCCGTTTGCTAGTTTGGTAGATGACTCAACGTCGGTTATAGGCAATTCAAAATTCCGTGCGAGCTTGAACTTGATATGGCAATCGGTTGCTCCAGGGTCAATCAGTGCAAGTGCTTGATGAACGCCACCAATCAGTACCTTCTCATAAACGGTCTGTCTCGCCTCCGTGTAGGGAGACAATGCACAGAGGACGGATGCTAGGGATCCTTCGGATTCCTCATCCTGCAACGCGGCTGTAGTTGGAGTACTTGGACGAGAAACAGTGGCCCAATGCCCCAACTTCTGGCACTTATGGCACGTGTCGCGCTTTGCCGGGCACTTGCTGCGTATGTGAAAACGAAAACCGCAGTACCCACAGTTTGAGTTGTTTGAATGTGACGCGTTATTTTGGCTTTTGTTTCGGCTATTTCGGTGGTACTTCTGTGCAATCGCCCCTGCAACCTGTTCAGGCTGGACAGCCGAAACGGAGTTTGATTGTTCAGAGGTTTCAGCGCGGAATGACCTGGAATAATCAGTTGACAGATTTGGTGTCGTCGAGTTCAAGTAACCTCGCTCGGACATGATCGGACCTCAATCCGGAAACAAGCGCGTCTCTAAACAACAGTTGTTTATGTACATATGCTGTAAGGGGTTTGCACTCACAGAGCTCGACGAGAATCTTTAGTCGCTTGATAAAGTCAGGAATGCTTTCGCCTTCCTTCTGCCGGCAGGATAGCAGCTCATGCCTCGCAAATATGACCCGTGTCGGTTTCTCGAACTGCGCGTCCAGGATATCCATGGCGGCGTCGAAGGTCTCCGCGTTTTGTAGCAAGGGAAACAGTTCCGAGCCGGCGTGAGACCTAAGGAACGTGAGTTTGTGGGTATTCTCAACCACCTCGTTGATGGCTAGCCCGTCGATGAAGATGCGCTTCCACCATCGCCACTGCTCAGGTGTGGGATTGGTGGGCAGCTGCGGAGGTTTGAACTTCATTGACACTATTGAGTTAAATTGTTGTGTAGAGGAAAACACGGCTTGGGGAGAAGCTTTAACTCAATAGTTATCTGAAAGACAACATCTTATAAACATCATATAAAACAATTACATGACAGTCGATCCATCTGAAATGGATCAAAGTTCCACTGTCTAATGAAAAGTAAATATACGGATTGTTCCGACCCTGTTTTTAATGGCGTCCGCGTGTTTTAGATATTTTGAGACCTAAGTACGGGGACGTTCTTATTTTCTAGAGTGGGGGTATTTTGGTAGTGGCCTTTAATCTGTAACAAAGGTTTTAGTCTCATGTCGCAAGTGAACAAAATTGGGTCCGACCTCCTGAGGTAGAAAAACACAAGAGATAGTGCCGCTGACTCTTGAGCCAATGGTTATAGTGCCTATTTTTCTTAACCTTATATGTGACCCAGAACAGGCGACTGTTAAATAGTATTTTTGTGGCGCTCCTGGGTGTTTTTACGACATCAAGACTTGTGACATTCGACCAGAATGGCCAAAATGCAATTTATGCAGGATTCGAATTTTGAGCAGTAAGCCTTCCGAGTTGATGATTTCGAAGGATTAGCGACGTTATTGGAACGTTTAGCCAAACGGTGAGGGCTAGAATATTCTAGTATTTTAAATTTTCAAAAATTCGAATGATGACGTCACGTTTCTGAGAAATGCTGAAACGGCCATTTTAACAAAAAAGCGAGTAAAAAACAGAACAACTTTTATCTGCGATTGCGAACAGTACGAAAATCGAGATTGGAAAACGACAACGAACTACAGAATAGCAGAGAACGCTCCGAGTTGCAACTATTGTGCTGCTACAATAGTTGCAAGGCCGTTGCCAACAACGGTGAAGGGTGAGAACCAGCCTTCCGGATTAGCAAGAAATCAAGAGTAAGGAGCTTGATTCGGCGGATTCAAGAATCCGGAAGGGTCTCGGGACGGAAACTTTTATTAACTCACATAAACTTTTAGCATCCTGTCATGTCCTGACTTGAATTTAACTGATATTTTGATTAGTTTTGACAAGGATGAGGTGCTAGGAGTTGGGGGAAAGGGTTGATCCATCTTCGATGGAGATGATGATTTTTATCTACTGAACAAAAACAATAGTAATATGATAAGTAGTAGCCCTGTTTTTAGGAGTGACCTCGTGGTCTGGGGATACTGAGACCCAGCCATGAGCTCACTAATTTTGCATGTAATTCAGTTAATTTGAGCGTTCTGGTCGAAGCCGGAGAACAGTAACGTTTTTGTCGACCCGATGTAAGAAAGACCACCGAAAAGTACTGGCTTGGTAGAGACGGTGAAAAACATGCAAAGCTCTGTTTAGACGCTGGCCAGTCGTCTTAAGACTTAGTTTTGTTATCCGTCGATATGTATCTTCCGGGCGAATGTTACATGTATGTTTTTATGGCGCTCCTGGGTGTTATTCTTTCATAACATCATGACCAGCGGAACCGTTAACGAGCACTCCGCGCCGAGCGGATGCTCACATTAACGCCCTTAATAGGCCTAAACTGCCGGGGCGGAAGGGTAGTTCGGAACGCGGAAGCCTTCCGGATTACCATAAATAGTTTTTTAACCTAGTTAAGACCGAAAATTCACGAACCAGGAAGGGTGGGGGGAATCATGAACCCCTCATCCCCTGAGTGGTTTGTGACCAAAAACACTTAAAGATATCAGCAAAACCAAACAAAAAGTAGTATAGTACCCAAGAAAAACAAAAAACATAAAAAATAACCGAAAAAACCAAAAACAGTAAAAAAGTAAAAAAATCAGTAGAAATCATCCCCCCAGACAAGATGTGATTCAACCCCCCCGTTTGTTGTTGATAGATATATTGTTGTTACAGGCATTTATATCAGTCAGGATCGTTACGATCAATTTTGTAGCCCGTTTGTGAGGCTTGTACTGTAGGGTTATTTGAGCATTTAAGCACGTTAATGATAAATTGCGCTCAATCCGGAAGGGTCAGCTGATTTGCGCTCAATTCGGAAGGGTCTTGGGTGAAGACCGATCCGGCAAGCAGTTCAAGGAGCAACAAGAAGGGGCTCAACGACAACAACAATCGACTGTTGGGTATCGTTAACAAGTTTTGTATCCCTTTTGGTACAAAAAGTAAGATAGTAATCTGTGGGGGGCTCGACAGTGCTGCACTGTAGTGACCCTTCACCGAACTGCGAATATCCGAGTTAAGCACCTTAATTCGGATAATAAACAAACCCGGAGGGGTATAGTATTACTAATATTATTATTCATATAGCCTATATTACTAGTCACATATCGTTTTTCAGTGAAAAACAACGAAAACAGACCGGTTTTTAGGGTCAAAATAGCGATATTTTGATCCCCCCACAAGTCGCGATTTTTGAGATATCGATATTTTTTGAAACGGAAAAAAGCGCTAAGTTAGTGTGTTACATCGTAACTGCACTACTGTAATAAGTAGAACCGGTTAACTTTAGTTCGGAAGTGGTTGGAACTAGTTTGGTACCAAAAACCAAATTTTCCCAATTTTTGATAGTAAGAAACACTAAAAATTTAGAAAATTTTTGGAAATTTTTGAGGTAGGACAGTAAAAATAGTTGTTCGGACAACGTCCACTAGTGAATCTACAAGTCTTAAAATCCGCTACCCGAAAGCCTTCCGGGTTGCAGAGAAATCGAACATAACGTGTTTGATTTGGTGGATTCATCAATCCGGAGGGGTCCAGGTAGCATAGTTTTTCGCAAAATTTTTCTACAATAGCGTTTTAGATTGGGTCTTTTGCATTGAACTAGAAGAGTATAGGCCTTCTGAGCTCGGATCAATAATTTTTAGGTCGAAAGGACCAGATTTGCGGAAAAAGTTAGGCGGAACCTATAAGAGAGAAAATTTTTTGAGTTCGGAAAAAAGACGTTTTGGTTAATAACTTTGGAACTACTGATCATATCGAGTTGATCTTGGTACCAATAGATCAGAAATTAGCTGAGCTTACTAATAGGATCAGAGATTTTTCGGAAAAGCGAGCGAGAAAATTTTTTGAGATTGTTTTTAGCAAATTACACAAATCCGGAGGGGTACACCCTTCACGTTTTATAAATTTTTCTGAAAAACCCTTATACCCCTACCAAAAGTTGATAGCGATTGAACTAAGTAACTTAGGACAGTTCTAGACAAAAAGGGAAGGCTGAAGGCACAAGACAACCATAATAGAGTCGAAGTTAGGCAAGTGATAAGACCCTTCACCGTTAGTGTGAATTGTCAAATAAGTGCCTTAACTTCAATCCGGAGGGGTCTAGGAAAGGACCCTATACCCTTCCCAGTTAATTCAAACAGCATAAAAGTAACGCAGAACGTATCCGGAGGGGTATAAGCTGAAATTAAGAAAACTACAAAAAGCTACTTTGACAGAGCTAAGGGCTCCCAATCCGGAGGGGTCGAAATTTTTCAAAGTCAGAGGGGTCCGAATCCGGAGGGGTCTACTTTCCACAAAACCGGAGGGGTCCGAATCCGGAGGGGTCTTATAGTTGCTAATTCCGAGGGGTCCCAATCCGGAGGGGTCTATATTCTGACAGTCCGGAAGGGTCCTATTTGTGCCATTCCGGAGGGGTATCATTTTATTAAGGACTTAGGTAAACGAAAGAAAGACTAAAAAGCGAGAGGTATTAGGTTATTAATACACAGGCTAGGTATCAGTGACTGCACTGGTAACTTGCCTCTCAAAAAGAACCAGACTAATACAAAACAGGTCCGAACTCGGATATTCGCGACACTAAGTCTAAATTAAAAAGAGCGTGACTCATTGGTGTGGATTGAAACATAATACGTTTTTGGGAAAAGTAACTGCCCTGAGGATTTTAGTAGGTCTAGCTCGGGCAGTCCGAAGGCAGATAGGTAACACAGTACTCGGTGGGTGCAATAGACGCCCACTTGAGAAAATTACTGCCTTCAAAGTTTTGTCTGTTTGGTGCAGCACCAAGCAGGGAAAGCTTTTTCTTTAAAAGACAGGTTCGACTATTGTACTGCGACCGACTAAGAGTACAAGACACATAAGATTTTTTTATATATACATTCATATTGTGTCAATATATATATTTTTTTGTTTTTGATTTTAAATCAACTTAAACTGTGCTTGATTGGGTGGTGACTACACTATCTTTTAAATTGACTGATAACATCATATTGTGCTAGTTTCCAGATCTTTGGACCGATAATCGGCTAGTGTGAATAAATTTTATACAAACTGTACTCTGACAACATACAGGGATTCGTGGTCACTATTTAATAGAATCTGGTGAAATTTATTGTGTTGTGTCATTATTATTGTTAATAAAACTATAAGGTCTCTAGCAATTGAGTCAAGAGTAGGCATAGGAAAGTGACAAATAAAGAATGAGTTTAGACAAGTCAAGGATACCAAAACGAGGTAATAGCTCTAGGAAATTCATACCTGAAAAGCAAAGAAAAACGATGACCGATCCTTTTGTGGATTGGATCAAGCGAACCCGGTCCGATAAAGAGGGGACGGTTTCAGGCAGAATGGTTGAAACGAGAAGTCAAAAGACCTCAGAAGAGCGAAGAGAACTGTTAGAAGTGGAGGTCAATACGGACCATACCATGAACGACAACCAGGGAGTAAATGGACTGGAAGGGAGAGGCAGAAGGCTGGCGAGTGAATCTACTCCGGTAGAACAAGGCCATGATTTTGCCACTTCCACCGGGACGTTGGATCGAGAGGAGATGTCGGAACTGTCCGACATCTCAACTGAAGTAACGGCAACTAGAAGATCTCCGACAGACAACACTATGATGGCAAGCGGAACTGGAAAACAATCAACCTCATCATCGTTCTCAGAAAGAATGAAGAACACCTTCGGAAACATCTTTCCATTCAGCATGGGAGGAGGAGCAGGAAACGATGGGGAGTCCCAGGAGGAAGAGGATGAAGAGGAGCAAGGGGACTTTGGATCTCAAGTCAGTCTCAATAGTTCGATCCAGGAGAG